AGTGGAACCCATCTGTCAGTTGTCAAGTGACTGTTCTTACTGTCTTTAAAGGATGGAACCAGTGAGGAGGGACGGATACCCTTGTCCCCTCGAGTCCTCCTCCACAGACCCTGCGTCCAGGTGAGGGTCCTCACACCGAGGTTGGAGAACGGGGAACTTCCTGTTCTCACATGTTCATTCTTTCCCTCCAGGTGTGGCAGTCAGACCCCCACCTACTGGGGAAACGAGTCATTTGCCCCGACTGTAAGAACAAACGTCGACACGTTCTCTAACAAGAACTGCACCTCCTCCACCTCCTCCACCTCCTCCATCTCCTTCTCCTCCTTCTTCTTCTTCTTCTTCACCTCCTTCTTCTTCTTCACCTCCTTCTTCTTCTGCTCTCTTCACAGACACACACAGCAGGTGTGGTGTGTATGCGGTGCTGGTGTTACTCCTGGTTCTGCTCACTGTTGCTCTGAGAGCGTTCATCTCCAGACTGTCCAGAGGGGGAGCTGGAGGTCATTTCAGTTTGTATTTCTTCTTTGGTTTGTTTCAGCAGAGAATGAATGTTTTCTGGATTTTAAATATCAAACGTTTCCTGTTCCCGTGACGGACTTCCTGTTCCCGTGACGGACTTCCTGTTCCCGTGACGGACTTCCTGTTCCCGTGACGGACTTCCTGTTCCCGTGACGGACTTCCTGTTCCCGTGACGGACTTCCTGTTCCCGTGACGGACTTCCTGTTCCCGTGACGGACTTCCTGTTCCCGTGACGGACTTCCTGTTCCCGTGACGGACTTCCTGTTCCCGTGACGGACTTCCTGTTCCCGTGACGGACTTCCTGTTCCCGTGACGGACTTCCTGTTCCCGTGACGGACTTCCTGTTCCCGTGACGGACTTCCTGTTCCCGTGACGGACTTCCTGTTCCCGTGACGGACTTCCTGTTCCCGTGACGGACTTCCTGTTCCCGTGACGGACTTCCTGTTCCCGTGACGGACTTCCTGTTCCCGTGACGGACTTCCTGTTCCCGTGACGGACTTCCTGTTCCCGTGACGGACTTCCTGTTCCCGTGACGGACTTCCTGTTCCCGTGACGGACTTCCTGTTCCCGTGACGGACTTCCTGTTCCCGTGACGGACTTCCTGTTCCCGGTCTCCAGGCTGGCTCCAGGTCCAGAGGCCCGTGTTGTTGGTCTGCTCCTCAGAGGGTTCGGCTCACGTCACTGCCGTGTGTGCGTTAGCTTCGGTTCTGAAGGCTGAGCTAAACGCAACGGTGCACTTGTCCCTGTGGGCCCACAACTCCCAGCCCCAGGTGGGGGGGGCAGGCAGAGCGGTGGCAGACGTGGGGCCGCTGCCGTGGCTGTACGGTCAGTGGGACGCCGTTCGCCAGGCTGAAGGAAACATCCTGATGGTGTGGAGTCCTGAGGCCAAGGTGTTCTATGAGAAGCTGAGAAACACCAGGGAGAAGAAGACGGAGGGGGGGAACAAAGGTGAGGACAGGACAGACGTGAGAGCGAAGAGAGGAAGGTCGGCTGGAGGTCACAAACAAGAAGGACGCAGTTTCACCACAGGTGAAAAGGAGAACGCCGCAGGAGAAGAGCGCTCTCTGTTACATGACGACACCGACCAGGAGACGCCGCTCTCTGCTGTCATCGCGCCGATGTTTGCAGGTGCACTCACATGCCTGCAGGGGGCACTGCAGCAGTCCAAAGATCACAGGGTGTCTATAGTGTATTTCCAGGGCCTGGGCCACAGCAGGGACATTCCCAAAACCTTCAAGGACCTCCCCTGTTACTGCCTCCCACAGGAGTTCCGGGGGCTGCTACAGAGGCTGGGGGGCATAAACACAGGGGCAGATCCTGAGGGTACGTTGAAGGTGCACTGCTGGCAGAGACTGCTGGCTAAGGTGCAGTGTCTGTGGCTCTCCAGACAGCTGGCCTACAGACTGAGGACTCAGCTGCCTCACAGGTCACAGGACACGTCCAATCAGGTGGAGGCGTCCCGGGCCACAGACCGGGGCGGTTCTGGACCTGTACCAGAACCGGTCCACTCCACAGGCACCACATGTAGAACACAGGAGTTTAAATGTCAAGGAACCAAACATCAACATGAGGAATTGGAGCAGAACTCCGTTCTGATCCACTGACATCCCTCAGGGTTCTTAGGCGACCCATCCACCAGGGGGAGTGCTGAGTTCAGAGTCCATTCTGTGTCTCAGACAATAACAGTCGTGGTATAGTCCGTGGTCTTACCATAGACTGGACTTTATTTTTATATCATTAATGTTACTTATTTACCCTGTGTGACGTCATCCTCACACCAGTGTTCTTGTTGTAAAACCTATTTTTTTAGAATGTGTACAAAATGTAAATATCTACACGTTCTACCTCTATAAGGAGTAACAGTGTAAATTAGACACGTGATCAGGCCGACAAAGCTTGCTGCGGTTTGCTGCCACCTAGTGCCTGAGGTCGTCATTACCTCAGCTTCAGCGTTATTCTTCGAATATTCTAACGACCTGCTGTGTTCAGGTCCAACCTCACATTCAGAACATTGTTGTGTTGAAAGTTCTGACAAACGGGTTTTATTTACTGTTCTGTGTCAGTCATGGTGTAACCACGGACTCTGATTGGTCCTGGTATATTTGTTAAAACTCAACATTAAATCTTTTTTCCACGGAACTGTCGCGTCATTTCCTCTGATGTTCACACACAGATTTTGATTTTTCTAAGCCGTGTTTGTATAAAATCCTGTTGTTATGATGACGATCCTGTTAACGCTGCGCTTTTACATCGACGCACGACGTAAATAATAGAGCGCTCTCTATTGGCAGAAAGTATTACAGCCTGTAAACTGCACAGATTTTAATAGAGAGTTATTGACGTTGATTGTCCTGAACTGCATCGAGTGTACATTGTGTCGGTACGGTATAGGTCCTCGTGATGCGGCGGTTTTAGGTCACAGCTACGATACTTGAACATTTAAAATCTGGCAACACTGCAGCGGAAGTAGAACCGACGGTGTAACCGCAGTGACCGACGCAGAACCGACTGGAAGCTCTCGCCCAGTCTACACTGACGGGGGGTCGAGTCTTTGCGCCACTGATGGCAAACGACAGGCAGCGTCTTGGCTGAGCAGAAGATGACAGTTGTCCTCCAGTGTCTGAAGCAGCAGAGACCCGGACAATCAGCGCTGGTGCAGCGGACGGTGTGGCTTCACGGAACAGAAGTAAGAGCTGCGGCTGGGCTAGCTACAGTTAGCTACAGTTAGCTTCAGTTAGCTCTCAGCCAGCGACACTCGGTGTGAATAAATGTAGCGTTATTTTATCATCACCTTTATGAATGTTTTAACTCGAAACGGTAGCAAACGTTTATTGAAGATTCAGTGATAGTGAAAATAAATAAAAACATTTGTCCATCCGCTGAGCTCATTCATTGTGGTGCTGATGCTGAGCTAAGCTAACGGAAGCAGGGAGGATGCTACGGGGGGAGGGAGGCTGTCAGCGACAGAACAGCCCAGAAACATAAACGTATTTGTTTCCATCATTTCACTGAGCAAAGTGAAGTTTTATATATATATATATATATATAATGTGTCATCAGCGCTCGTTAGAAGATGAATTAAATAAAAAGTCGTTGTTGTTACGAAGAACGGAGTCAGGAGGAAACAGGAGGAGGTTTCACTGAACAGTTCAGATGATTGTTTCAAATAAATATGTTTTATTATTATCTGGTACACAACTTTACATATTTATATTCTTCATTTAAACACTTACCAAATATAAAAATGTATTCATAATAACATTGATGAACTTTTCTGAGATATTCTCAACGAGTTATTTAAATGTAAACAGCGATAGTGAGTGTTGTTTACTCCTGTGTTGTGTGATTCCTGAACGATGTGTCTGTCTGGTCCTTCTGTGCAGGATGACGTGGTGGTGGTGGCCCCTCCTCCCGGCTCTGCTCCTCCTCTCTGAGCTCTCTGTGGCACGGGTCCAGACGGCACCGTGTCAGACCTGTCGAAAACTCACCGACAGTTTCATCAAGGTAGGACATTTCAGTAAATATAAAAACAAATCTATTTCCTCTTACTTCCTGTTTTTCTTACTTCTTTTCTTCAAATCCAGGGCTTGGAAAGAACGGCCAACAAGAACTTTGGTGGCGGGAACACAGCGTGGGAGGAAGAGAAGCTGGCCAAGTACACCCGCAGGTGAGAGCTGGAGGGTTTGGAATCACGGTCACACACAAGTCTTTATTTGACATCATCATCTCAGAGGCGCGGCTGTCGACCCTGGTTGGTTCTGTCACTCATGTGAACAGGAAGTTCTACCTCTGACCTGTTGTTTCAGTGAGACGCGGCTGTTAGAAATCGTGGAATCTGCCTGTGAACAGACAGACTTTGAATGTAACCAGCTGCTGGAGCAGATCGAGGACCAGGTGGAGACCTGGTGGTTCCACAGGTAAACAGACTTTTGAAAATTATCAAAGGTCAACGCTGTTTGACCCCAGAGACAAACACTAGTTTAGTCAGTACCAGAAAGTCAGTCCTAATGGACTGTTGAACAAATGTACCATGTGACTGAGAGCGTCTGAATCAGACTGTTGTTGACCTCATGAATGATACCCTCTGGTGGACTGTTCTATTAATGACTTTTTACAGACTGGTTTGAACTGGTTTTAATTTTTATTAGTGCAGTTAAAAGAAAATCAAACATTCAATGTATATATTAATCAACAACAATAATAATAATTATAAACTGCTGCTGGTCACCCTGATGGGTCATTAATAACCAGTGACCTCCTGACCCCGTGTCTGTAGGCAGCAGGAAGCCCCCGACCTGTTTGAGTGGCTGTGTATAGAAGAGCTGAGACTGTGCTGTCCACCTGGGCACTACGGACCGGACTGCAGAGGTGGGTCAGACGCCACTGGTACTCTTGGCAGGATGGAACTGAAGAACCGATGTGGAGTTCCTCCGTCCAACAGAACTGTTGTTGTGATGTTCCTGTGACGTCAACAGTACCAACTGTGTCAACACTCTCCTCTACACAGAGTGTCCGTCAGGACCCGGGGGTGTGTGTGGGGGCCTCGGTCGCTGTGAGGGGGAGGGGACTCGCCTCGGTGACGGGGAGTGTGTCTGTGACCCTGGGTACTCTGGCCGTCTGTGCCTGGACTGTGCCGACGGCTACTACAGGGAGAAGAGCTCCAACGACAGCACCAAGGACAGCACCGGCGTCTGCACAGGTGTCCCCACTGTCTGTCCACTCTCTGTCCACTCTCTGTCCACTGTCTGTCCACTCTCTGTCCACTCACTGTCTGTCCACTGTCTGTCCACTCTCTGTCCACTGTCTGTCCATTGTCTGTCCACTGTCTGTCCACTGTCTCTTTGTCTAAAGTTCACTTTTTAGTCCAGTCTAATTTAGTTCATATCTGAGGGTTTTGAACCTCTGACCTCCTGATTAGAGGTCAGCCCTGCTGACCCTGCTGACCCTGATCTAAATCTGACCCTCTGTTCGCAGCCTGCTACCACTCGTGTAAGAAATGTTCAGGGCCGCAGGACTACAAATGTCTGGCCTGCAAATCCGGTTGGATCCTCCATGACAACAAGTGTGTAGGTGGGTGTGGCCTCAGCTCAGCTTTGATTGGCTGAACGTTTGTTGTGTGTGTGTGTGTGTGGTCATCTGACCGTGACTTCTTCTCTCAGACGTTGACGAGTGTGGGACCGAGCTGGCTCGCTGTCCCTCCAACACCTACTGTCACAACACTGACGGGTCACACGAGTGCAGAGGTGAGGGTCGTCTGGGGTCAGGTCTGATCTGATTGGATCACCGTCGTTACGTCCACTCTCCAGTTTGGTTCCACTGCCATTGACATATTTGTCGACTTTGATTAAAGTCAGCAGACGAACTGTTGACGTTCTTTAACAAAAACAATATTTGAAGCCAAAATAACTACTTTGATAAGTGGTTCTTTAACTGCTACGTTATGGATCCACCGACAGAGAAATAAGAGTCTCTACATCAGACACAGTGTCATCTCTGGAAACGTTTCCTCTGAGAGACGCCTGACCGCGGCAGTGAAGTGTTTGACGTTGTTGTCTGGTTGAGTTGGTGACGTTCGTTGTGGTTCATCTCTCCAGGCTGTGACCAGGCCTGTGTGGGTTGTATGGGGAGTGGTCCCGCACGCTGCAAAAAATGTGCTCGTGGATACAAACTGAAGGGAGCCAAGTGTTTGGGTGAGAATCTGAAATCTCGTCTTTGTGACTTTTGTAAAGTGAGGATTTGACAGGAATGTGTGTCTCAAACACATTTGTCTTCTGACACAGACGTAGATGAGTGTAATGAGCGTGAAATAGCGTGTCCAGGACTGAACGAGGCGTGCATCAACGAGGAGGGCTCGTTCCACTGTGACTGTGCTGACGGCTTCATCAGGAGAGACAGCATCTGTGTGGAGAACAAACCCCCCGGTGAGGAACCGTCTTCAAACCATCAACCGTCTTCACTGCGTCTCCGCTCTGGTGTCTAACTGTTTCCCTCTTCGTCCTCAGTGGACCCAGACAAGGGGCTGTTTGATGACATGACAGACGACGAGGTTCTGGTTCTGCAGCAGATGTTCTTCGGCGTCATCATCTGTGCTCTAGCCACGCTCGCTGCAAAGGGCGACATGGTTTTCACGGCCATTTTCATCGGCGGGGTGGCTGCTATGGCTGGATACTGGCTGACGGAGAAGGGAGACTACATGCTGGACGGATTCCTGAAGGGGCGCTAGACCACCTGTGGCCCCGGCCCCGGCCCCGGGCATCAGCTGACCAAGGAGACGAGGTTGGACCAAGGCCGGAGACGCTCGCCTTTGGGCATCTGTTTTGGGAAATAACTTTCAAGGTCTGGCTTTTTGTTAGTATGAAGTTATGAACAGGACAATGATGGAGAATAAAGTAAAGAACATTTGAAGATAAACCTTTGAAGTAAAGAACCTTTGAGGCCCAAACTCATAAGGAAGACTGAGCAAGGCAACATTGCACTGATTTAAAGGAACTTTAACCTCTACCTCACCGTCGCTGGGATCCTGCTGGTGGTCGAACATCTATTTATGCATCTAGATTTTCTTCTGATTTTGCTTGAGATACGTCCAAACTTTAAAACCCTCCAGTCATTTTGTCTGTCTATGTTAGAATGTTCCACTGATTCTCCCTTTTTTTAGAAATGTCCTAAATCAGTGAGAAAAAATACATGAAAACCTCGGGTTATTTATCACGACTCCTGGGTTTTATATTTAAGGAGTGTTTTTATCAGTAACAGCATGGAAACAAAAAGAGAAATGAAAGAAAACAACTGAGTTTTAACTGCTGCTGAATCACAAACAACAACAACACTACTACTATAACTAGTACTACTACTACCACTACTACTACTACTACACTGTGTTTATGAATGAACTGAATGATAAAATCCTGAATAATGTAAGACCATTTTAATTGTCTTTTTATTTTATTTATTTACAATATTTATCAAAGCCTTGATTGTATTTCTGTTCAATTTAGGAATTGTACATTTTAATGTTATTTATTCATTCTACTGTAATTTAGGTCATTATTGTAGCATCATGTCCAAAAGCCCTGACGTTGGTCTGTCCATTAAATGAAGACGTCTTTACCACAGGAGACACTGACTGCTGTTGTTGTTTGTTGTTGTTTCACGTCACACACCCGTCACGAAGTGTTGCCTCCACCAGAACAACCAAAACTGGTTCATAGTTCTATAGACGATAAAGGTTGATACGTCATTACGTGACGTCACCGACTGAACTGCATGTTGGCCATGTATGTTTTTGTAATGACGTTGTAAAAGCTTGTTCATCTGGACTGAACATCAGATTATTTTTAGCTCTAGTTTTTAAAAGTATAGTCGATCAATGTTTCTACAAAATTAGTTCAGAATAATTAATAATAATTCGCTGTTTTTTGGAGTTTTTTCTTCTACACCACACCTGACTCCCTGGAGCTTCTGATTGGCTGACACCGAGAAGAGACGGGATATAAAAGGTCTTCACCTGAGACGGTCTGTAAGTTTCAACAACAGCAGATGTCTGTGGTTCAGCTCTACGGATATTTCGTCTCCACGTCGGTGATTCACGGATAAAGATACAGGAAAACGTCGTGAATAAATGTTTTTTATCAAGTTTTTGTTTCCCCTCTGAATCAGCACACGGACATTAAAGCGTGTTATGTTTTACACCCGGAATTTACTGCTGGTAAAAAACAAAAGTCGAAATTGAGAAGAGAGGCAGGTGTCGCTGTGGTTCAACTTCCGGGATGGAACACCGTCGGTAAAGAAGCATGGTCGACACTAGGGTGAGTTGTTTTTTGTACTTCTCCATAAAATGTTTTTATTTTTCTTACACAAGTTTATTTCATATCTATAGCTCCTTCAACACAGCACCTCACGTGACGTACTAGTGTAATTCTACAACATGGCGCCAATTCGCTGCTAATGTTAGCTCACCGATAACATGCTCCGTGTTCTAATGTTGTTTGTCTTTTACCCAGTGGTCGATCAATAACCAGCCTTAATATTGTCGTGAATGTTAATGTTGTGTGAAAAGTTCTGACCCAATTCACTGGATTAAATTAATATTAAACAGAATCTTGGGACACATTCGCCACCTACAGGCCAGAGAAGGGGACTTTAATTTCGGGTGTGTTTTCCTCTTCATGTCGAGACTACGTCAGTGTTCCACTCCAGTTAATGGGGTTGAGCCGCAGCAGCTCTCTCTCCTCCAGGATCTGCTGGGACTGAGTTAGTGCTGTGTCCCTCCACCGCTGCTCCATCAGCTGCACACAACCGACAACATAAAATAAACCCCCCAGTACTTTAAGAAACCACTAGGTGTGTGTGTGTTCATCCACGATATCTTTCTATAGTATTTAAAGTCAGTGTAGTAGCTGTTATTGTCAACAATAACGACTCAGGATGACTGGAATATAAAACAATATCTAAATATATTTAAAATAAATCTCCTGGGTCTGTACAGTAACTGAACAGACCTGGAAAATGATCACAAACTTCTGAACATTATGATAAATATATAGATATTATGATAATTGTATGTACATTTGTCAGTGACCGTGAGGTGTTGAACTGGTGTGTGTGTTGTGTGTGTGATGCGTGTGTGTCCGTACCCTCTTGTTGACGTCTCTGTACACCGTCATAGCCTTGCTGTGCTCAACCCTGTGCTCCCGGTCCCTGGACAGGGCGGTGAGGTCCACCTGACGAGCGAACGCGGCCTCTCTGACCCGTCCACTCAGCTGCAGCTGCAGAGACACACTCTTCTCTTCCATCTGTCTTTTCAGCTGCTCCCGCAGATCTTTTCTACCAGGAGGAGGAGTTGAGTCGTCAGACTGTGACGAGGTTTGTTTTGTTTCTAGATTTTTTTTTTTTTTTTACCTGTATTCTTCTTTTTCACTGCTGCTTCCGTAGAACGGCTTTTGCCACATTTGGTGAAACCTGACATTTAAACACTTTTATATAAATGTGAGTGATTTAAAACACAGTACTGTTGATTTTTATTGTACAGCAAATTAAAAGTATATAGAATAAAATAAACAGATCAGTTCACCATAAAGATTCTTAAAAAATACAGTTAATAAAATCTGAGGTTCTTTAGTTTTGACTTGTTTGTTACTGTTGAATTCACTGGTGTGAATGAGTGTATTTACAGGTGTATTAGTGGAGTCAAATGGACAAACACCTGTAGTGCTCTCTCCTCTGCATGATGACTGCCCTCTGGTGGTTGTGGTGATGAACAGCTGGAGTCTCCAGACTCACCGTGCGTTTATGGACATGAGGTGGATGTAACGGGTTCAGTCTTGGAATACGCTAGAGGGCGTAGTCACAAAGGTCGTTAAAAACCCATGAAGCAAAAGTTTCCTCTAAAACATCAGAACCACGTTGTGGTTTGTGAGTCTGTAAAGTGTGTGTGTGTGTGTGTGTGCGTGCGTGCACCTGATTGTTGGTTTGTTTCCAAGCAGAGTCTAAGATGATGGGGAAGGTCACAGGAGCGACCCCCAGGCTGTGAGTGACTCTGACAGGAGGTCTGTCGTGGGGAACACACCCAGGTGTGGACGCTGCAGAGAGGGCGGCTGTGGTAACGAGCAGCATCAAGATACACGGAGTATTAGAGGTATGTAGTATTTTAATGTATAGACAGAAACAAGCCTCTTACGTAGTTTCATGGTGTCGTTCCCGGGGCGGGGCGGGGGGGTAACTTCTCCGGTCAGTGTCGTTAACAGTCGTCCAGAGTTTTAGATCCTATTAAGTCCTTCATTGTAGCAGCATTAAATTAACTCATGTGTAAAGAAGAGCTGCTGCGAGTCAACGTGGACTTCCTGTTCATACCTGGACGACGCTGCCTCCACCCGGGGTTTACAGCGGCAACGGTTGCTGTGGGAGTGGGGTTACCAACCCAACAGACGTCCACCAGAGCAGAACTGATTATGTTTTAGACAAAGGACTGAACAAAGACGGGGAGGTCATGTGACTGGAGGTCATGTGACTGGAGGTCATGTGACTGGAGGTCATGTGACTGGAGGTCATGACTGATTATTTAATGACTATTGACGACCTTTTCTCAAACACTTTTTATTAGACGGTAAAACCTTATAAAAACAAGACCAACACTGATGGAGGACAAACATGTTTCATCCTGAGCTCTGATGGAGAGGGATCTTCTCCTCCTGCTCCACTCTCAGTTAAATCCCAACCTTTCGTGGTTTTCCCAGAGCCAGGAGTGATATTTGTTCAACATGTGATCATCAGGCGTCACCTTTATGACACAAAACAAAAACAAACCGTGTTTTAATTTGTTGTTATTTGGGCTGTGGTTGAACTGGGGGTGTGGAACAGCCCCCCCCCGGCCCCCCCACTCACCTCTCTCCACTCCCCCACACAGAAGATCCTGTAGGAGTCGTTCCCGTACTTCCCAATACCATGCAGCTCCACAGGGTAGCGCCACTGTTTGGTGAGATATTCATCTGCACAGAAGAGGAAGAGTTTGATCAGGTGACGTAGAACTGTTCCTTCACTGCTGCTGTCCACGGAAAACTCTTTTATTTTGAAGCTGCTCTTCTGTCTCCTCTGTTTCCTCCTCAGCAAAATAAAATGAACCAACGCCAGGAATATTTGACCAGTAATTGGTCATAAAAAAATCCACACAGTGATGGAGAACTTTGACACCATATCAGGAAATTAAATATTGTATCAATATTTTACACACTCTCACACACTGACTGTGTGAGGAAGTTTTACCTGAGAAGCGGATGAGAGTTTTAGCTCTGAGTTCAAACAGACCGAGTGGCTTCAACAGTTCAGACACAGTCGTCCAATCAGCTGCTCTGGTCTCCTCTGCCGACGGGTACTGTTCAAAGAACTGCCACAGCACTGGGACAGCCATCCTGCCTGGGTGTGAGGGTGAGAAGTCCAGGTCACACCGTGGAGCGTCAACCATCTGTGCACTGGCTCTGGTTGTGGTTGGTGGTGTTGTTGTTGTTGTGGTGGTGGTTGTTGTTGTTGTGGTTGTTGCGGTGGTTGTTGTGGTGGTTGTTGTTGTGGTGGTTGTTGTTGTTGTGGTGGTGGTTGTTGTTGTTGTTGTTGTTGTGGTGGTTGTTGTTGTGGTTGTTGTGGTGGTTGTGGTTGTTGTTGTTGTTGTTGTGGTTGTTGTGGTGGTTGTGGTTGTTGCGGTGGTTGTTGTGGTGGTTGTTGTGGTTGTTGTGGTGGTTGTTGTTGTTTCTCACCACTTGTTTTGTTCAGGAATATCGTGGCCACCAACAGCTTCCAGGGATCGTGGAACAGCGTCTCCTGCACCAGGTTGAAGGGGGAGCGGGGGGGTGTCCACTTCCTGAAGGCCTTTCTCCTTGGGGGGCTTAGATCTGGGTGTGAACAGTAAACAATTCTTAAATAAAACAACAATAAATAATAACAAATAAAACAGTTGTTGTTTTCAACATTACCATTTTTTAGTGTTTTCCCGTCAAAGTAAGGACTTGTTTTGCGTTTGTCGTCAGAGCTCCTGGACTCTGGAGACACAGGAAAAACAGGAGAAAAGAAACTCACACTGAACTAACAGTCATTTAACTGCGTGGACAAAATACAGCTGTGATTCACCTGACGCCTCTGTTGTTTAGACATGGATTTTTAAAATATATTTTTGTCCTAATTTGTGGAATTTTGTTTGTAGCTTCATAATTGTCCTGTAGGTGGTGCAAAAGTACACAAAATCCTTGTTGTGTGATTGACATTACTGTTTTAATTAAATTAATCTTGTAAACAGGGTCAGAACTTTTTCACTGAGTAATAAAGAAATATTAGGATGTAATCAGATTATAATCTGGGTTATTCTGTGAATGTGACACAAGAAGAGACCAGAAGACAGAAGACACTACAGTAGAAGACAAACAAAAAGACATGAAACACCTGTGAGTGTGTGTGTGTGTGTGTGTCAGACAGTGGAGGAAACACGTACTATTCTGGGATGTTCTTGTTGGTGTGACAGGAGTGTCAGGTAAGGACACCTCCAGCGTCACACCCTGAGCTCCGTCAGCTCCAGGCTCCTCTTCAGATGTAGACTTGTTGTCAGTCTGTTTCAGTCCTGCTTCACCCTCGTCTTCACTCTCTGTGGCAGGTTGAACGCTGACTGTTGGAGCAGACGGTCGGGGGTCTCCGTCGTCGTCCTCTTCAACAGGTACATTTAGTCCGACTGATGACGTGAGTCGAAGTATTTTCTCCCTCAGCCTGCGGGGGCTGCTCTGCACCTCCTCGTGGTCCTTCACTGCTGCAGCATCAGACTGCTCCTCAGTCTCATCAGTGACCTCTGACCTCCAAGCATCAGTACAGCTGCTGTTTGTCTGTTTACTCCTGGTCCTCCTGTGAGGAGCAGCAGCTTTTCTACATGTGTTTGGAGGCCGTTCCTGAGTCTCTGTCGTCTCACGTTCTTCATTCCTGTCTTTCTTCTTTACTGCAGCAGGAACCCTTTTTGAGGTCAGTATGACATCATACCTGGACGCCGTGAAATCAAAGAGGTCGATGTCCAAGTTGTCCTCTGTGTTTTTTAGGAGAAAAGCTTTCAGAGACGCCTTAGAGCGAAACATCTGCCCTTTAGGACTGAAGACACAAACAAACCAAACAAATTCAGACCAATCACACGGTGGTTACAGGTCTGTGACTTAGTGACTCAAACATAAACACTCCAAACAGATGATCAAGTGTCTAATAGAAACATCACCTTCTCATGTAGACGTCCAGTTTGCCTGCAGTCTTGCCTCCTGTCCTTTGTCTCACCTCTTTTGTCCAGCCTGGGGGCAAAGTGGAAATGTAGCAGCGTTTGTCCTCATGACTCTGGTCGTTCGTGTCTCCACAGGTCTCCTCCTGGACGTCACGGTCAGGAAAAGGCGTTTTAGAAGGCTGTGACGTCACACAGACCTATTCCAAAGACAGAAGCAGTCTAGATGGAGTCTGCCGTCATCCCTGGCTGTGATGCTGCAGCACAGTAAACACAACCTACGACCAACACAGCTCAGACCCCGGGTCACTGTTATGTCTCCGGTCTGCTCTGCTGTTCCTTCTCATTCGTTTGTGACTGACATATTTCCGGTTCTGCACTTCTTAAAGTTTGACGTCATCAACGCAGGTATGTTTCGTCACATTACAGTTAAGATCACAGAATGGGAATAAACACAATATTATAAAAGTTCTCACGTGACATAATGTTGTACAGGCTCCATCCATGGTCGAAGCTGAGACTGGAATCAGAAGCTGCAGCAAAGAGGAAGTAGAGAGTGTTTCCGAGCGTGGTTGCCAGGTTTGCCTTTTTTTTTCTTTTACCTTCTTTCAGAGCTGAAACTCTTGGATCGCATCATTCAGAACATCAGTAAAAATGTACTTTTTAAAAATATGTTTGAACTGTAGTCTTATTTTGTTTATAAATAAATAACGTTCATTGTCAAATATATTCCTTGTTATATTCATTGATACAGTTAAGAATTGTCAAAAATTTTATATTTGCAGATTTATGGTTGTGCCGTGTTGAATATATATTTTGTTAGATTTAAGACGTTGAAAAAGGGTCATAGGTCACAGTTCATGCAGCTGTTTTTAGGACCATTTGTTCCTGCTTAGAAGTTTTTATATGTTTTTATACGTATTATAATTTGTTGAAAATATTAGCAATGGCGTTCATTCAATCAGAGTTCATGCACAACTTACCTTTTAGACAAAACTGTTTTTACGATCCCTTCTCCCTCGGAGAAGTTGATCTTAAAACGTATTATAGCCACACTAACTTACGTGTTTCCCTAAAACCTGGCAGCCCTAACAGTCTGAGTCTGCGCACTTCGACCATTTCCAGAGTCCAGTCCTGTTTGGAAAATCAACGTTTTCTGAACACCTGTTGATTAAATTACAAACATTTGTCAAGATTACGACATGAGAGCCGTTCTGACGTGGAAAGAAACCATCCGTGACCAGTGGTAGGAGTGAACATTATCTTCATGTTTCTGTGGCCGCTGAGCTTCACCGCTAAGTTGTTGGGCTCTGTAGTTAGTAACGGCGGTTGCCATGTAAACCGAGGTTAGCGTGCTAGCTAGCATTAGCATTGTAATTGTGCTAGGCAAATGACGGTGAAATAGACGTCAAATTAATTCTAACCAGAGTTCGATTTCATTTTAGTATTTGTCCTTTAGCAGCTCATATCTGAACTCCACACAGACGACGAGCAGCTCAGAGTTTGGGCCGTTAGTCCGTTAGCTGTGGTTTAGAGAAGTATATAATTGAAAATAAGAAATAACTCACACTGTTAGCTTAAAAAAATGAAAACACGAGCCAGACTTTTGTGGAGCTTGTTTGACTAGACTACTGCGGTAATAGGACATTAACATATACAAAACATTTAACTACAGCCCTGAGAAATGTTGCACACAGATGTTTGTAGGATGTTTCAGGGATAAACAGTGTCAAACTCACTTTTACACTGGGCCAAAATTAAAATTAAAGTTCATATTTATCGAACAATGTTTTCCCTTCTCTCCATGTCTGTAATTTTGATTTTTTTTTATGAGGAACCAAACTTTAGTTTCGCGTAAACATCGAGTCTGGAACGACCTTAATATTATAAACAACCAAAAATGTATGTGTTTTATATCGTGGATACATCACGAATACTACAAATCCCACCAGCTCTAATACACATTGGATATGATCTCACGGGCCAAATATAATTACACCAGGGGTCAGGTTTGACACCGCTGTCCTAATGGGACTTTGGGTAAATAAATAAATAAACATTACAGTTGAACACCAGAAATGTTTTTTTTCTTTCTGTCCCTGTAGAGGCTCTGGATGTTTCTACAGGCTCATTGAATATTTGGACTTTATTGTTGGTTTAAAGTCGGTTTATAATAATAATAATAATAATAATAACTAGAAGTGAATCACAGTCTCTGTCACGAAGCACTGACTTTACACAGTGTTATTTATTTATTTGTTGTTGAACAAGTACAACAATTTTTTCTTTATTTCTTTATTACAAACGTGACTTATTATTAACATGTATGTTGTGTTCCTTGAACATGTGACTGCCCTCTGAGCTGATACTGTTCCAGTGTTTCACCCAGACCCTCTCCTGTCTTCCACAGTGTTTATGACCTTGCCTTGAAGCCAGATGGCAGCCAACTGATTATTGCTGCAGGGCTGCGTGTCCTCGTGAGTTCTCACAGAAGTCACATTTGTACAGAGGGCAGACATTATCATCTCTGATGATTTACTGGCTCTGTTTGCAGGTTTACGATGCTGCAGACGGCTCCATTATCCAGCCTTTAAAAGGACACAAAGACATTGTTTACTGTGTGGCCTACGCAAAAGACGGTAAGGACTTCAGCCTGTTCTCCTGAATGTGAACACACATCTTCTCTGTTGTTGTTTTTTTTAACTGTGACCTCACATGCTGCTGCGTTGGTCTGCAGGTAAAAGGTTTGCCTCTGGGTCAGCTGACAAAAGCATCATTATCTGGACCTCCAAACTGGAAGGAATCCTGAAATACACGTAGGTTTTAAGGCTTTTTCTTTAATTATAACCTATCAATTGTATTAATGTATTTTTTAAATGTGTTTTTTAACACACTTTCAAATTCTCCAGACACAATGACTCTATCCAGTGTGTTGCCTATAACCCCGTCACTCACCAGCTGGCCTCCTGCTCCTCTGGTGACTTTGGTCAGCGCTCATTAATTTCTCTTTTTTATTTAATTTATAATCAACATTGTTAACAAAACCATTTATTTTTAAAGCATTTGAGGCAACTGTAGCAAAACCAAAGGCTCATAAGACATTTGGACACTACTCTGTGAATGTATACATTTGATAAACAATGAAAACGATGAACTTATTAACTATAAAAGGCTGAGGACTGAAGTTATTTTTTTACATTTGCAGGTTTGTGGTCACCAGAGCAGAAATCTGTGAACAAACATAAAGTCAGCAGCAAAATCACATGTTGTGGGTAAGAGTTCACCCTTGAATATCTTTGAGAGGTGGTTAACTCCCACGCCACCCACGGTCGCTCATGGAGGGTTTTGTTTACTGCAGGTGGACCAATGACGGCCAGTACCTGGCTCTTGGTATGATGAACGGAGTTGTGAGCATACGGAACAAGAACGGAGAAGAGAAGGTCAAGATAGAGCGACCAGGAGGCTCCTCCTCCCCTATCTGGTCCATAGCCTGGAATCCTTCTAAGTAAGTGGGAGAAGATTGAAGCTTCATCTGATATATTATTTGCGGCCAGCAGGTGGCAGCAGTAGACCAGGGAGTGGTCGGATTGACTAGCAAACGCCCCAGACTGCAAATAATTAAATTCATACTCCTCCAAGGTCACAAGTGACTTTTCTTTATATGTTAGTGACAGCATTGTTTTATCTACTAACAGTTATTGGATACACCAATAAACAATCATCACTGATCGATAATCAATGATCAATGATCAATGATCAATAACCAAACCTAAAGCCACAGACGTCCCTCTCTGGTGTCTTCAGTTTTGGTCCTTGTGTCTTGACAGGGACGAGCACAATGACATCTTAGCTGTGGCCGACTGGGGTCAGAAACTCTCCTTCTATCAGCTGAGTGGGAAACAGGTGAGTAGGTTCACAGACACACACAGACTGACCGAGCCCTTCGTTACCACAGGTGTGTTAACGATGAGGTTTTAGATCAACATCGTACGTAGAGATTTAACGACGCGTCGTAATTCGGTTAAAAATTGATACAAATCCATGACAATTCTCATCAGTTGAACTTAAAAAAAAAGAATCAATTGTCAATGTTTAGTGTTTCTGGACAGAAATGGGACTTTCTGCCCCTTTTCTGATATTGAAAAGGACAATGTCAGTTGATGAGGTTCACAGACCAGTTCAGTCAGTGATGGGATTTGGTCCCAGTTTGTCTGGAGATCATTTTGTCAGTGCTGTCTTTTTTTACCGTCACCTTTTACAGACCCAAACCCAGAAGTCTCCAGTCTCTGTTGGACAGAACCACTGACTCTCTGACTGACTCTCCGACTGACTCTCCGACTGACTCTCCGACTGACTCTCCGACTGACTCTCCGACTGACTCTCCGACTGACTCTCCGACTGACTCTCCGACTGACTCTCCGACTGACTCTCCGACTGACTCTCCGACTGACTCTCCGACTGACTCTCCGACTGACTCTCCGACTGACTCTCCGACTGACTCTCCGACTGACTCTC